TTTAAAGCATAGAAGGAATGGGCATTGGCCCATGGTATGTGGACGGATATGCCCTAATGGATATGCAGCAAAGTGAGACTTTCTCACCTGTTCAGACAGCTTATTATAACTTGAGACATGTCCATGCTTTGGTTGGTTTAGAAAGCCCCACAGAGAGTACGTTAGTCAGAAACGTACTTGAAACCGCTAAGAGGAAGTTTGCCAAGCCTGTTTGTAAGGAAGAGCCTATAACAGTTGAGTTGTTGAATAAGACTGTACCAGACAATGCTGATGAATGCTCATTATACAAAATGAGAACCGTTGTAATGTGCTGTTAGCTTATTCAGGTTTCATGAGATCATCGGAGTTATTAGCGATAACTCGGAGTGATGTTGCATTTTGTCAAGCTTACGTGGCTGTGTTTATTCAGAAGTCAAAGACTGATGTCTATAGAGATGGGGCCTGGATTATCATAAGCCGCACAGGTACAAATATGTGCCCTGTAGCAGAGCTTTTCATTGAGGTGTTTAGTTCACATGTGTGTGATATATCGAAGTTTGGTCTGCACAGTTTGAGAGCAGGTGGAGCTACTGCAGCCACAAACAGTGGCATTCCAGGCGGAATGTTTAAGCGCCATGGCAGGTGGAAAAGCGAAAATGCGAAAGACGGTTATGTGAAAGATGATATTGAGAAGCGTTTGAAAGTTTTTCTTTTGCTTGGATTGTAAATCTGCCCGTTCTTTATGTCTCAGTTGGTGCACTGTACAGCATGTCATGTTATGTAAGTGTTTGTTGTATGTGAATAAGGAGTTGGAGAAATATAATTTCGTTCGTTTGAGGTACGAATTAGAATGAAATTTCTTTCTCACAGTGTCGGAAGATACAACAAAGGGAAGTAATGCAATGAGTACGAGGGTGCTCTGATAAGTATAAAAGGGAGGGAAATTTGAATTAGGTCATTCTCAGCTGCGGTGCACGAGCGGTCATTTTGTATTTGCCGTTTGATTTCTATGTGAGTGGATATATGCACTGTATATATGAATGTATATACACTGAATGTTTAATTCTCGTGTAATGTTACAGGCCGATGACTGGCAATATTGGGTGGGACGGACATGTCCAGGCTGGCGACCGTTAGAATACGTGAGTGATCGGGGCATATGCCGTGAGCCATGCAAGATGTAGTAGATGGATTCGTAGCTGCTTTATTGATGTGAGGAGACGGCGCCTTATCACTTAGGTCCCAATGGATGTAGTTTGTACATATTGTGTCAAATTATATATACTGAGTCAAAAAAGAAACTTCACAAAATGTAATTTGAAAAATAATGAATACTTTTTCTCTGACGATACATCTATGTATCCGAAATGGGATCCCCATCTTTCGACTCTAGAAAAACGTTAGTAAAACCCACTCAAACCCCATCCATTCGTCGTGCAAATGACGTTAGTGCCAAATCAGGTTTTGCACGTGCAGTTGATCACGTGATATTCGCATCGAAGTTTTCTTCATATGCACGTGTTTGCATTGGCCTCAAGAACTCAAATAACACTTTTAAACCACAGTTCTAACGGTACTTGAGATGCCACGATTCTCAAATGTGCAACGTGAACGTGCCGTTGGCATGTTGCAAGCGGGAAGATCAGTTATCGACGTCGCAAGAGCAATGGGATGCAGCCGTCATACTGTGTATGACTTGCGAGGTCGTCTACGACAAACTGGCACCACTTCTGATCGCCCAAGGTCGGGTCGTCCACGTGTGACGTCACGAGCAGAAGACCGTCAAATCGTCGTACGTCACCTACGTGACAGATTTCTGCCGGCTACACGAACCAGGGCCGAGATGTTTAGAGGTCGACTGTCCTCACAGACCATTCGAAATCAGTTGCGGGCTGCCAATCTCCATTCTCGACGTCCATATCGTAGGTCCATATTGACGCCGTTTCATCAACGTCAACGTCTGCTGTGGGCCCAACGTCACCTCGGATGGACCCAGAGAGACTGGAATCGAGTCGTCTTTAGCGATGAATCCAGGTTTACCCTCAGATTCGCGGACGGCAGGCATCGAGTCTGGCAACGACGTCGTGAACGGTATGCCCAATGTTGTGTACAGGAAGTCGACAGATTCGGGGGCGGGAAGTTGCATGGTGTGGGGTGCTTTCTGTGGGAACAACCGTTCCCGACTTCTGGTCATCCGTGGAAACCTCACAGCTGCTGCTTACCGCGACCAGGTGCTCACCCCTGAACTCGTTCCTTTCATGGCGGCTCATGGCCCAGGTCTACAGTCCCAGCATGATAATGCTCGGCCGCATACCACGATGTTGACACGAAATTTCCTTCAAAACGCTGGAATTAACGTCATGGACTGGCCATCGAGGTACCCTGACCTTAATCCAATACAGCACGTTTGGGATGCACTTGGGAGAATGCTTCGTGGTCTTAGGAACCAACCTCAGAACTTGCAGGAACTTGGCGCTGCCTTGCAAGAGCAATGGCGCAGAATCCCCAACCACGTGTTCACAAGCATCAGGCAGTCGATGAGGAGACAGTGTTTGGCAGTGGTGAATGCGCGGGGCGGCCATACACGATATTGAACTAAGAAATTTCGCATTTTTATTCTTGTGACTTGACATTCTATATACCCATGTTTTGGAACGGCGGTGTAGCCTAATGGAACTGATTATGGTACTGTCAGTGTACCGAGCACATCACACAGATCTCAGCAATGAAATAATAACAATTTAACCATCTTACCATCTCTTGTTCTGTTATAGTGCCCTGAAGAAAGAATGTGAAGTTTCTTTTTTGACTCAGTATATATTCTGAAACGAATACACTGTGATCTCGGTTGGTTCACCGTACATCATGCCATGCCATGTAAGTGTTTGTTGTATGTGAATAGGCAGTTGGAGATAGGGAGTTGATATTTAACGTCACATCGGGAATGTTTCAGCCATATCGTGACGAGAACATTTAGTTATCACAGCTACAGATAACGTTTTGGGGTCATTCGGTTATGTACTCGCTTGTGTTCATCTCAATTAAGTATCCTAAGTTTCCTTTCAGTAACCATTGTACTCACCTCATTCAAACTCAGTTGGGTATTTTTTCCATTTTCCATTATACGCAATAGACTTAATAATAGAAAATTGAGTTTTCACATAATTATTTGTATAATTTACGCAGATACGCAGCTTATCTGTACCTTTGAATTATTATGATATAGATCAATACGATTAGAAAGTAAAAGCCTATTGACGAAGAACAGTAAACGTACTGGCGTATGACAGATATTAAGTAAAACTAGCATGTTATCTTAAAACGATATCATTAAAGAGAACAATACGATATAAACCCAGGCTATAGATTGCCAACAACCGACGGTAGATGACCATACTAGGGGCCCTGAGGACGTACAGAACATTTGCTTCCTGCATGGACCCTTGCTGGATTTACACCATACCATCAGCTGTTAGCAATTTAGATTAATGTGTTCATACATTAAAATAACACATATTCTACGGTTAAGAAAGTGGAGGGTTTAAACTTACTTTGAATATTTTGGGACTTTGGGTGGAAGTCCTGAATGGGACATGCATCAAACAAATCAGAGAGACACGCCACATAATCGTGTTGAACGCCGCTTACAACAATCAAGGGTTTCTGATTCAATTTGTATTCATCACTTTATGTCATGCACAGTGATAAGTGACGTCAATGTTGCTATGCTGTAAGGACCTGTAACCATGATGATATCACTGATAAGCACTTTGCCCCTACAGATAACAATGACCCTGGCTTGTAGATAACACTCAGGGAATACATGCGCATGTGTCTGTGTTTACCTTCACACAAGTTTCATCCGATGTTAATGTTATGTGTTAACATTCCTATTGTGTGTTCATGTGTTAGGTGTGTGTACATGTACATTTGTGTGTTCACGTGTGAGGTGTGTGTACATGTACATTTGTGTGTGAGGTGTGTGTTCTTATACGCATTCTGTGTGTATGTTTTCATGCAATGTCTAGACTGCTTGTTTTAACATGTATTCATGGCAACAGAATTGCTCTGACATGTTTATAAGAAGTTCCTTTGCAGAAGTTACTTACATTGGCTAAAATGATTGATTATTGGAAATATTGCCGATGGGACGAATTACCGACGATTATGAAGATTGGGTCATCGATATCTTACACAACTATTGTAATGAAATAAAGCTGTAGTTTTCAAGGAAAAAAGCCGGAACAGCAATCAGCCGAACACGTTTTACAGGCTGAATGCATTGTGTATTTGTTATCAAGCATGTCACAGTGTGAATGAGTGAGTGAGATTAGTTTTACATCGCTTTTTGCAATATTCCAGCAATATCACGGAGGGGGACACCAGAAATGCACTTCACATATTGTACACATGTGGGTAATTTGAACCCGGGTCTTCCATCTACCATTTTTTTCCCACAGGGATAATATGGTCGAAGATGCGTAAAGGCTAATTTCATAAATACACCAGCGAGTAAGTGAGTTTGGATTTACGCCGCTTTTAGCAATATTCCAGAAATATCATGGCGGGGGACACCAGAAATGGGCTTCACACATTGTACCCATGTGGGGATCGAACCCGGGTCTTCGTCCTGACGAGCGAACGCATTAACTATTAGGCTACCAACGCCCCTAAAATATTTACCACTCAAAGTACAAACGGGTCAACATTCTCTTAGCAACTTCTGCCAATAACGCGGGCACATCAGCTTCGAGGAAATGTGTTTACAAGCAAAATTCGACCATCATTGCAAGGCATTTCATCAAGCAGTAGTCATCATCATCGACCTTTGACCAGGTCCATGTCATACACTGATGATGGCGCGATACTTCGTGCTTATTACATAATGCCAATCTCTAATTTGTTTTCTCTAAAGATACTTGCAATGAACATTACCTCTCAATGCACATTTGAAAACAGGTGAAGTTTTAGAGACAATAATAAGCTGGTAGAATCACGAGAGCCGAGGCACACTTTCTTACCTGTCGGCGTGTCGCCGCTATCTCGTCTGCTATGAAGTCACGTGAACGAGTATGCGAGTGCATATTCCTAGCGACTAGCTATATATTTCCAGACTAATGATTAATAATATGCTACGTGATGGCCCAGTGCGTAATTACATCACCACCAGTAATGCTGAGAGAAATATAATTAGAGATAAGCTCTTGTGAACATATTTTTTCCACGGACGTATAACAGGGGGTTTCCGTTTATACCAGAGGTAACACAAAGGCCGATGCTGCAGCTAAAGCAGTTCTTGACAAGCCCTTATCCCCACTGCTGATCCCGTACAGTGATTTCAAACCCACTATCAAACGTTATACTCGGGACCTTATGCAGAAAAATGTGGGACATCCAAGTAGAAAGAAATAAACTTCATGAACTGAAGACAACAATTGGTTATACCTTCTTGGGTTGTCAGTCAAGACGTGATGAGGTAATTATACGAAGATGTTGTATTGGCCACAGTCGGTTTATTCATGACTATCTGCTCAAAACAGATTGAGAGGGGCCTCCCATGTGTGTCTTTTGCGACGAACTGTTCACCATCAAGCATGTTCTGCTTGACTGTGTGGACTATTCGACTGCAAGGGATTCGCACTATGAAGCGAGAAATGTGATAGATCTATTTTCCCGCGCGAGCGGACATCTCATTGTTAACTACTTGAGGGAAGTTGACTTGTATCATAAATTGTAACCCTGTAAAGCAAATCACTTATTTCATGCTGTTGAGGGTTGTATTTTTTTAAAAGTTGGTGCTATGACATTTTTTGTTTGTAAATAATAATGTAATTATTAAATATGCTTTTAAAAGCTTAAATCATTTAAGCTTTGTACCTAAAATGTCCATGTGTGCAGACTTGATCTTGTTACCATATGGCTCAAATAATGCTGATGCGACGCAAAACCCCCAAAACTCAACTCAACTCAACTTTGCAAAACGTATTATGCACATAAACCCGTGAATATACTATGACATGAAATCTGGATAGAGTTGTCCCCCTTCCAGTAGAAGTTGTACAGTGTTATGCCTGATTAGATGTGTGCATGTATGTGGGAGAGGTCAGGTCTGTGCACTATATACATTACTTGAAACCTGGGATCGATATGACTGTGTGGCATATTTTGACAGCGTGGTGGGGTAGCCTTTTGCTTAAAGCTTTCACTCGTCATCCCACATCAGCAAATTGTGGGAAGCCCATTTCTGGTGTCCCCTGCCATGATATTGCTTGAATATTGCTAATATTGTGGTAGAACTTATCTCACCCACTCACTACATATTTGACGTTAGTTATGTTCTAAGTACCTACAGAAAATAACCTTTTGTCAAGCTCTTGCTGTAATTTGCGTATAAATAAGTCATTGATGATATCTGTACAGTTGGTTTTGCAATTATCAGTGACATTTCTATGTCGAAGTTTATCGGGAAAATGTTATGCCAAAAAATAATATGTGGAAAAAGTATGAATATGACTCATTTAGTCTTTGTACCTAAAGTGTGTGTGTGTGTGGTGTGTGTGGTGGTGGTGGGATGTGTGTGAGTGTGTGTGTGTGTGTGTGTGTGTGTGCGTGTGTGCGTGCGTGTGTTTTGCAGGCTTGGTCCTGCTCAGTATGACCATACGACGTGGACGTGGAATTTTAACAAGCACTCACTCACACACTCACTTTAGGTACAAAGACTAAATGAGTAATATTCATACTTTTTCCTCATATTATTTTTTGGCATAACATTTTCCGATAAACGATATTCCATGTTGTGATGTTAATCAGTGGATTACCTGAATCAGAACAGATAATTTACAAATCACTGTCAGTAATTGGAATATTGTTGAGGACGGCGTTTAACAACAAACAATAAACTATATTCAGTGATTCTCTCCCTTAGACGTATAAACAGCATACTCCGGAATCCATTTGTCTACACATGGTGTGTTACATGATCGAATTAGAAAGTCCAAACTATTAACAACTCGAGAGCAAATACATTCATTTAGATTCACTGTGGGAGATTATTTACTTTTACAACCATCGCAAATAGGAAACAAATTATTTTCTTTTTTTTGTTTTGCTCAAACATGGTTTTCAACGTCTTGTTTAGTGTTTGTTGCTTAACGCTGAACTGAGCAATATTCCAGCTATACGGTGACAGTCTGTAAATAATCGAGTGTGGACCAGACAATGAAGTGATCAACACCGTGAGCATCGATCTACGCATTTCGGATACGACGACCTGTCAACCAAGTCAGCGAGGCTGACTACCCGATCCCGTTAGTCGCGCCTTATGACCAGCGTGGGGGGACCAATTCTAAACCAGATCTTCACGGGTCCTATATTTTTTTCATCCATTCCCCAGTAGAGGCCCTCGACCAACTTGATACACTGGTATTTTGCAATCGGGTATGCTTTGGTGAATGATAAAGCCAAGCCATATTAATGGATATACTTTATTCAAAATCCCTGTATATACATTGAAATGAATGGAGAGTCTCACCAAAGTGTGTAATGATATCAATTATATATGAACACGAGTTGATAAAGTTACACATTTTTATCAATGAGCGTTGGTATATTTAATATCAGAAGACACGAGGGTGAGATTCTATTTATCATCAAAAAATACTTTTCATTAGTTTTAAATGATAAAATGTATATCTCTGAACACAGTGCCGCCACTAAACGTGCAGTGTAGCGATGTCATATCATTTTGAATCATGTAATTGATGACGTCAGGGCATTGTACAAAATCTACGGCAATACAAGCAATATCTCCAGTGAAACACAGTTTTGGATCGTAATATACAGATTCTACACGAACAGCCACAATCACATATTATTTAGAGATCCAAGGCTCTGTAGATTACGAGACTCAAGAAGAATTCACTTTAAGACAAATTACCCATATTTTGGAAGAAGCACCTACATTGAAAAACTCTCAAATAAAATGTTCACAGTAAAAGGAAAACATGAAGCATTTTGGGAATAAGTAATGTAAGTGCAAACAGAATAAACTTGGAACTTCATCTAATCCAGTACTCACTACACCTAATGCGTTATATAAGGAACAAGCATATGCGGAAATGAACATTTCTCGTTGGACAACAGTTCTCGCAATCAGTTGAACGGGCACAGCATTATAAATACTACATACAGTTTCGGTTTGGGGTTGCGTAACATGGACGATTAGGGTACCGGGTACGTTTCTGTATTTTGACTTTCTTCAGAGTACATTTCTGTATACAGAAACGTACCTGCTGTACATATAATAATAATCAAGTCTGCCCAGAGTCGGTCTTTTGTGGAGAAGCTTTCTGAGAAGCCATTGCATCGTGTGTACATGCAGTGTGTTGAACGGAATAGCAATCCCACCGACTCCTTCGCCTGGATAAAGTCGGCTGGTCTTAAATGTGAAACTGAGGGCTTCCTTTTTGCTGCTCAGGACCAGTCACTTCCCACTCGCAATCGCCTAAATGTGATTCTTAAAGAAAATATCAATCTGAAATGTCGACTTTGCAATGAATTCACGGAGACGGTCCAACACCTTGTCAGTGGATGCCCTTCCTTGGCGCAAACATCATATCTTAAACAACATGATGGCATGGCTCGTTGCTTTTACTACCTTCTCCGCTACGCCTGTGGCTTTGACTCCGAGGTCCATCCATGGTACGACCCTGAACATGTCCAGGGCGTCATGGAAAATGATGCTTTCAAACTTCTGTGGAATAGGCCCATATACAGCCTCAGAAGAATTCCTGCCAACAAACCTGATCTTGTCCTTTTTGATAAAGCCAATGAATTTATTTATATCATTGAATTTTCTGTCCCTTTTGACACCAATGTGATTGGCAAGATTAAGGAAAAGCATGATAAATATGCGGACCTCGCCTTTTAAATGTTTCGCTTGCATCCCAAATGCACTGTCGCCAGGCTCCCCATTGTTCTCGGTGCCCTTGGTTTGGTACCTGCTGATCTCTTGGAGCAGATCAGGACTGACTGACTGAGTTTGGTTTTAAGCCGCTTTAGCAATATTCCAGCAACATCACGGCAGGGTACACCAGAAATGGGCTTCACACATTGTGCCCATGTGAGGATTCGAACCCGGGTCTTCGGCGTGACGAGCCAACGCTTTAACCACTAGGCTACCCCACCGCCCCCTCGCAGATAAGGAGAGTGCCCGGGTTCTCCACCGGGAGTACAGCCCTTCTGATACTCTGGGTAATGCAGAAGGCTGCAGTGTAGGGGAGCCTTCATATTCTCCGGAAAGTTCTTGGTGGGTTCGACTAGGCAGCGTTTCCTGGGAGAAGTCCCATTCGCTGTCTGGGCTGCGTGTAGAGGGGGCAATTGCCCTGAGCTGATGATTAGCCTTACCAGCCTGACTGTGCCAAGATCACCCGAACCCTCTCTGCTGCATACTATCTTCAATCTGTAAAACATAATAATAATAATAATAATAGTGAATTTATATGGCGCATTAATCCATGCTCAATGCATGCTCTAAGCGCACACATATGTGGGTATTAAGAGTCATTTTAGAAAGGCAGTATTAAATAAATAGGTTTTTAGCTGAGATTGGAAAAAGGCAAGAGTTGAAGACTGTCGGGAGTTTGTTCCATTCCTTTTGCTGCATTGAAAGCAAAGGAACGTTGTCCATAGTTCACAGATTTCACAGATGGAACTTGCAACAAGAGCTTGTTTTCTGACCGCAGTGATCGAACTGGTTTGTACCCCGTGATCAAATCACACAGATATTGTGGAGCATCTTCAGACAGGCATCCATACACATGACACAAGATCTTCTAGCTGATTCTCTGTCGGATGGGCAGCCAGTGTAGGTCATCTAAGATGGGGGTGATGTGGTCGTACTTCCTGCAGCTGGAGACTGTCCGAGCAGCTGCATTCTGGATGTGCTGTAGCTTGTTGGTAACAGACTTGGGTGCATATCTGTACCGACCTAATTAGATCATTCATGGAAGGTTTCAGCTTCATAAGTCATATAGTTTCAGAG